TATGTGTATGTGTGTGTGTGTGTGTGTGTGTCTGTATATATGTATATGTATATGTGTGTATATATATAAATGAGTCCCCAAGGCTCCATGGGTCTAACCTGTATACAAAAAGGTTGAAAGAAAGAAAACACTTTAGAATAATAAATGTTTATATTTAATTAAAACAGTATTATACAACCTTGACCTATATTCCATTACTAATCCACTTCTGGAAAGAATGACAATTGATATGAAAGTTTGTGCTTATATCATAATATGACCCTTACTGGATTGATGGGCTGAGACAATTGCTTCTCCAAGATCATCATTCATGTGTTCTGTCTTTGGCATTGTGTTAAGACATAACACACATGCTGCAGACGGGCACACTGCCAACATGTCTGCCTTTATAGAGGTCCCCAGATTCACTGATGACCAATTAATCTAGTGAATTTGATTACTCCTACCTGGCTGCTCTTCTTCCTTTTAATTCCTTGAAGCAGAAAGGGTTTATGTCGTTTTCTTGTTCTGCAGTTGGATAAAGTGCGTGTTCAATAAAACATGACAGTGCTAAACTTCATGCTTTTCAAATGATTAGATGTAAAAAAAAAAATAACTGTTTCTGTCAATATATCACAGTGTTAAATAGTAAGACGCACCCTGTTTGTTTATTAAATTCAGCCGCCTTGGACAATGATAGAAAAGCAAAATCACACTGTGACAAAATCATCCTTCTTTCAGCTTCGTTCACTCTAAAAAAACAAGTTTGGAAATTCAAGGTTGACCTTGTGAAAGTAGGAGCAGCTCAAGAACTACATTTTAGCACTGGAAAAATGTAACAAGTATGACTTCCAGCCTTGTTATGCAGGTAGAATATTAAGCAGTTCATATAAAAAGGTGGAGGTCACACACTATAAGCATGATAAATTATTTCCATTACAGATTTAATAGAGTTTGGAGTGCATTGTACCCCTGTAGTAGCCCATGTCCACACTAACAGATTCCCACTCATTTATTTGGTCTAATTATAAGCTCGTGCATGGAAAGCAACACTGACCAGTTCTGATGAGTCTGCTGGACCACAGCTCGCCTCCGTTTCCAGCTGCTCCATGATGGACCTTTGCAATCTATCTCAGTCAGGTTTCCCAGCAGCTCACAACTTCTGCTCACACTGCTCTGACTTGTTCAGCATCTCGTAACGAGACAATGGTTAAAATGACTTTGTAGTGGACTAAGCCTACGTCGAAACCCAGTCTAAGGTCAAAACTC